TACGGGACTTCCGCTGAAATGGGGTAGAGGAAAAAGAAGTGAATGTGTTCTGTGCCAGTCTTGACTTGTTCAACCATCCATCATCCCACCCGTACAATAAACATAATCACCCGTAACAAGTACATGATACAGTTTTCTTAAGGTAAACGTCCTAAGATAAATAAAAACAAATAAGCTCAGCAGATAATCACCAAGCTAAAAGTATAAAATTATCACAAACGCGCGCTGAAACATAACAGGAGTACATGCTGAATCGATGGGCTTCCTTAACAGAAAGGACATAAATTAGCACATTGAAAATTTAGCGGCGTGTTGCCAGAGATCGTCAAGTTGTGTCGACTGAAATCACCGCTCTGCAACAATATGAAGACATGAGAGCACATATCTGCTTATTAGTGGACGTCTGCACACTCTGATAGATGGGTCCCGCAAACTAACAAACACGTCGCTGTCCTCAGATGAAAACAATGTTATTTTCTTAAAATTTACGAGGGAAAACCACAAGAATAAAATGTGGTATGTCATAGTAAGTGGCTCCGGAAATTTCGACAACGTAATAATATTATCTGGTATTTCACATCCCAGAAGCACAATATCATTACGAGAAACTCTGTGGTTGAGGGCTCCTCAACCACTGCGTTTCAACATTTCTGTTGGAATACGTTTCAACCGAAAGCAATCGAGACACGTTTCAACCGCTGTGTTTCAACCGATTTCGCGGTTGAAACACAGCGCGGTTGCAACACAGCCGCGGTTGTGTTTGAAACACAGCCGCGGTTGAAACACAGCGTTTCAACCGCGGCTCCTCAACCTTTCGGCCATCTGGCGATTTTAACAGTGTGATTCAAACACAATACCATCTGTATAATTTTAGGCCGCATAGTTTTACTTGTTCATTTTTTCTGTGACCAAGCAAGTTCTCGTTCTCCGAATCCATTCCGATTCTCGTGTTTCGCCTTTGTATAACTGTTAAGGCCGCGTTCACACTGAGTATTCCGGCCGCCGAAAGTGCTTCGAATCCAATTCGGCGGCGGCGAGTTCCGCCGAAAGGGCCCTCTCCGCGCCGATCACTCTCGGGCTGATTTTTGCGGCGTCTGCAGCCGAATCGGTCTCCGCGGATCAATAGGAGCACTAGTCAAGGAATTTTGAAAAATGGCGGCCAAGCCCTACTCACTTGTTATGCCGCAGTGCACGTAACTGAATGTTGAAACCAACGGGAGTTTAACCTACTCTGTGCCTACTTCACCTCCGTATTTCGTGAAAGAGGTGACCGAGCTTGCTGTTGGTGTGACCGAGCTTGTTGCGGTCTTGCAGAGAAAATAAAATCCACCAACGCCGCTGGCCTTGGTGGTTTTTCTGCTCTTCGTGAATCAAAAGACAGCCACTTGCCAGCAAAGTAAGCAGTACTGTCTTTTCTTGCTTCTTGCGTACGACAATCGTCGAAGTATACACCACCGTATAGTGTAGTGACGTTTGCGAGCCGCGACAACAACCGGGTGACAGCGCATCCATCCTGCGTTCGCCCCGTAGTGGATGGCATATTCGGCGGCGCGGGGCACGTCCAGTGCGAACGACGCTGCGTTTCGGCGGCAGGGAAATTACGGTCGCTGTAGAAAGCGGATGTTTCAGAATGAACTAGGCATTAACACACACGCACAAAGAAATACTCATGAAAGCACAGAGAGCGCTGACTTTCGAGTGAACGGTTATTTACAGCAAGTGGAACATCCGTGTGCGCATATCATCTATAAGTAACACGAAACATGCAAGAAGAATTGACTTTTTTTATAATGCGCAGCATTTCTTTGCGTACTGCAAGCACTTCTGGCGTCTATCGCTAGAGGTGCTTGTAATATCTATCTATCTATCTATCTATCTATCTATCTATCTATCTATCAATCTATCTATCTATCAATCTATCTATCTATCTATCTATCTATCTATCTATCTATCTATCTATCTATCTATCTATCTATCTATCTACCTATCTATCTATCTATCTATCTATCTATCTATCTATTTATCTATTTATCTATCTATCTATCTATTTATCTATCTATCTATTTATCTATCTATATACTCAGACACTTATGTCTAGGGGCTCTGAAGCCCTACACTAGGCGTGAACCAAAATTAGCATTGGAGGGTATGATGATTTGACGAATATGACGCGCTTGTCAAGGCCCGAACAATGTTACAGTCCTGTCACGTACGTCGTCAAACACTTACTAACCGACAGTGGCACATATCCGCGGGCAGGTATGTGTCACAGGTGAGTGACACTCCGCATATTGCAGAAAGGGCGGTAACATACGTGGGTACTTCAGACGCATGACCGTTAAAAAAGCGAACATCGGCAGATTCAAACAATAAATGTCAGGTTCCTTGTATGAATCGAACCGGAGCATCCTGCATAGCAATCAAGTATTTCACTACAAAGCCACGCAAGATCTCAGAACAACTTTTTAAATAGACCCTAACGTTCGTGAAACGTCAATGGTGGTTTCAGTGTTGGCTATCCACTTTTATAAACATTACATATGTACTCCTAATATTCACCTGTCTTGTCAGGTTAGCGTCGATTGTAGGTAGCTGCCATTCACCTAACTTGATTAATGTAGCAGTGTCTAAGGCGAATATCCTTGCGAGTACCAGTGCTTCATATCAGCTTATCGCTTATGGTGTTGCTATATCTATGTTGCTGTCACCATCGTTGAGCAAGTTCAGACTACTGGTTATACGAACATCTACGACTGTTCAACATATATCTGTGCGTGCAACATTTGTACATACCGTTTTGCGTCATTTCATATCGTATCGCTGATTAAGAAATCACAACAAGGTCGCTTTCTCACCGCCTCCTTCCCGTAACGTCGATATTCAAAGTATGTGAGATTTGCCAATATTTTTTTAAATAAAGATAGCAATGACGTTTTGCGCAAATACTCTCTTTTGGTTTTACAACAAATTAAAGTGAAATAAGGTTCCTAACGTGTTGATGCTTACTAAGAGCCAGTTTAAACACATGGTGGAATTAAAAGGAGGACTGCAATGGAACTACTTACAGTGCGAAAAAATATGCTAACCAGATTGGCTTTTCATATCCAAAACGGGTTCATGTGCACGATGGCTGAGATTGTTTCCGGTCTTGCATCTCAGAACTTGCCACAACTTGAAGTGTGCACTTAGCGAACTCTAGAAAACGTACACATCTCCCTGAGAGGTGCTGGAATGGTAAATAAAAACATTGCCGTATGCATTATTCATGGCATATCATTCAAATTGGTATCGCATCTCCCTCGCCCTCCCCCCTCCCTTCCCCGCTTCTAGCTACATTTTAAACCAAGCTAGTAATCTTATCGCGCTCGACTCATTCATTTCCGTACCGTTTTTCTTACGTGAAGTGGGTGGTGAGCGTAAAGGGGGTAAGGCAAAAGTCGCAATAATAGTTAGGGTCTTCCAGCCCAAAACATTAATATGACAGTGGCAGGTGCCACAGTGGAGCACCCGAAAATTTTGACTACCTAGGGTTTTTTAAGGTGGGGCCAAAGCTGGGCACATGGTCATTCAGCATTTTACTGCCATTGATATTTGGTCTACACGGCCCGGATTCGCCTTGAAGACCTCGTCAGCAGTAGACCACTATAACCGCTGGACCACCGTGGTGAAACAGTCACAGCAGCTAGGTTGGTGTATATATGCGAATATCTATATCCCTGACTGCTAAAACTTTCATTTAAGTACATATACACCTTAATAAAGCTCATACCAAAATTTTTAAGACTAAGAGGTACATTAACAACTCGATGGAGATTCCAAAGCGTGAGGTACTGGAGAGTCAGGTAGAATAATCAAAATATTCTTTTACTACGTACCTGCCGTGAGAATTGACATACCTTCGTCTTTGAATCTTTTCTACAGCAGCATATAATTTGCTCTGAACTATATATGGTAAAAACCTGCCTTTTATGAGTGCAGGAGCTCTTGTAGTTGAGAAATTGACTAAGTGAAGACATGTTCACTCAGACTCTAAATGAAGAGCACCCAGCTGCCTTCCGCTGCTTTTTTCTTCTGAAATATGCAAAGACCAACACTGTATTGATACATAGGATATCAATACTGCATTCTAGACTATTGTGCTATACTTAAAGCATGAACACAAGTCTGTAGCTCAAGTGATGCAGCAGCTGCGTACTATGACACCGTCTACAGCCACGCACTCCGCCGCTTCAGAGAAGTGTGATTGTGAGTTTACATGTGTTGCTCTTTTACGTTGCATAAACCAAACTATAAGTATACGAATGAATTCATGATGTAGCATAACTGTTATTGTGGAAGGTTATTAGTCTGCACAGGGGCCGTTCGGATATGGTAAATAAATCAAGCTCATTGCTACAAACTTAGCGTATGCGTGCCGCTACCAAGTGTGGATATAACGGGTATGTTTCCCGTAAATATGCAGTGGACGAGGGTAAGGATAATTGCTCGAGTGAGAAGTTAAGAAACTCTCGCAATGGCGAAAAAGATTTCCAAAAAACAAGCAAATCTTTCTCACTCAATATTGTGAAATATTGTGTTAAAAAAAGGTCTCAAAGCGCTAATAGCGAGGAAGGCAAAAGAATGCGAGTGAAAGGGAGGGTCACTGGCGACGCCCCTGGAAGAAAAATACTCAAGAGATGGTGTGAAATAAACATAAAAATGAAACTTACGCTGTTTACCTCACGAAAAAAGAAACTTTCAGGCTAAACGTTGCACTTAAGTTTAAGACCTCGCTGCTCCAGCCTGAAAACGCATCTATTAGAACAGCGTATGCGGCAAAACAAGCTTTCGTCAGATAGGCCCATTTACAGCCACGCTTGGGAGTCTCCTACGACACGTTCTGCCATCTGTGAGGTAAACACACGTGCTTCTTTTTTATTTATGAATTTTTCTCCTTTTGCCGCACTGAGTAAGTTGCTAGGAAAATAAAAGGTGTGACTTTGCCCCGTCTCTTTATGCAGAAATGCCATGCGGAAAGCCAACGCAAAAAAAAATATAAAAAGCAGAAACGTCACCTGTGTTTTCACTGGGAAGCACTACTGTTGTTTTCTTCAATGCTGCAGTAAACTTGGATGTATTTCATCATTCTGTGTTATTCCGCATTGCTTGTTATACAGTAAATACACCTGGTGTTGTTTGATCCTATCAGTGCACCGCGAGCAAAATATCTATATACGTATTTTTAAAGCTAAGTAAATGGCGTTGGAGTTTGCTTGTCTGAGCTGTCGGTATAATAAGACATACAGAACCGACACATATACAAACATGCAATTGTTGGAAACCGGAAGAGGAACCCACATGCTCTTGACATGACATTTACCTGACGTACGACGTCTGAGTCACAGTTACTTGAACTAAATCTTGTGTCAAACCCTGAATGAAAGAAAATAAATGAACTGTGCCACCATCTCTTTCAAGTGATACATTTATCGGCATATATAGATGTGCAAGTGTATTGGTTCGCAATTAAATTCAAATACTTGCGCGATGGCACATTTCACGTGCTTTATTTGCTTTCTCAAAGCAATGATATAACCTATTTCAAATGCAACCCCTAACATTTTAACATGAAGAAGAGCGATAAATCACCGGAGTGATCATCATAATTACTAATTCAGCAGATGTTGGCTATAGCCACAACTTTGTCATCATTTATACATTTATTGAAAATGTGGACTTTTCTTTGAAGGGCACCTACGCAACTACAGGAGCGGGCCTGAAACTGCATAGAAACAAAAACTGCGTCTTAGAAATTTCAAAAGTTAAGAAGAATGTTTTGATGGCCAGACTGTAATAGAAGTAAAGAATGAAAATTACCATTACGTTCGATCAAAAACAGCACAAATGGCTTATTAATGCATTCCGTTTTGAGCATATTGCACTCATTGCTTTGCCGTTGTTGCTGAACTATGTCTTTCCTTTTTGCGAAAAACTGGGACATCGTATAAACGCTGCTTGAAAGAAATGTTAACAACCAATCACTGAAAACCGGCCTCCACCGGTTTTGAGCTCGCCTTTGTATCACTGCGTGTAACGGTAGTGCAAGCGAAAGACTGGGATTAGAGCGTCAGAGCCGAGTAAGAAGATTATCAACCTTTACCCTCTAGACCATTGCGCCTGTATTCGTGAAGGCATGTTCGTATGCACCCGACGCAAACATTGTTATACACGGCTTTTCCTCTTGCACTTACCTGTTCTATATTCATCAGGATTATTTGCGCAGTTGAAAGTGAGACACCGTCTTCATATGGTTACCTTATTTTGCCTAATTATATAAGGGCATCCCTACGACCGGGCAAACTGCGCGAATGCATTTGATTCTATGACTCTCATTTCTGAAATTGGGTGCACTAACAAAGGGCAGCTACTGTTTTGCAGGACTCATTCATAATCCTTGCTTAAAATGTGCAGACAAAACATTGTAACTAGAGAAAAAACCTGTTTTTTTGTTAATGCAGAAAGATGTCGTTGGGTCAGTAACCACAAAAATGGCACAGCTGCCTAAACTTACGAAGCATGAAAGTCATCAACTTATAGATCAGGTGGATCAGGTGTAATAAGCAGCCTACAGTACAGTACCAGATGGGTTACAGTAATAAATTAGTATTAATCTTTGTAGGTATTCTCTTTTGGAATATCGCCTATGTTGCAACGATAAAAAGCTGTTAAAGTTTGATGCGACCATTTATTGCTTTTAAATGGTTGCTTAATCCCACGTCTAATCTTACTCTGTTTTGCTGGCTGGAGGTTCTTGTACAAATTCTTGGACGCATTTTTACTCGTTTTCCCATCCACTAGTTAACACCTTTTACATGAACAAACACGCGGCAAAAATAACTCTATTCAAGTGACGCGTTACGTCATATTGTTCCCGTGAATCATTGCTGCGGGATGTTACGTCATTTTCACTCACGCAACAGACTCGCGCTTTGTTTATTTTGTTCTCTGTGCCAAACAAACTATCTCGCACTTTGTGAGAGTGAAGATGTAGTCGAAGAGAACGAAGCGAGCATATACTGCTTCGTCATTACAATGATTACTCTTCCTATTACCAGGCGTAACGAAATTCTCAGAGATTCACTTTTAGGAAGGACAACACCCTATATGTTTCTAGATTGTTAACCTCGTGTTAAGATGTTCGCTGTATATTATCCAGTGGCCGCGCTAATAATATCGGGGGTTTTACGTCCCAAAACCAAGATTGGAATATGAGAGACGCCGTAGTGGAGGACTCCGGTCATTTCGACCATTTGGTGCTGACACCCCAGTGTGCATGGACCCCTACAATCTCTCCTTCATCGGAATGCGACTGCCATGAACGGTATTGAACCAACAACCTTTGTTTCAGTGATCAAGCGCTTAGCTACTGTTTCATCAAGGCCTACCATTACCTAAGTGTTCTCTATCATACTCATAATAAAATAATTGGAAGCGCAAACGAACGGGACACAAGAAAAGAGACAAACAAGGGCATTTGTACCAACTAGCCCACCTGTCAACCCTTCTGTACTTTTCTCTCATAAGCGAATGTTTCGAAATTGTGGCTTCAAAAGAGAAAGAAAGAAAAGAAATTGTGACGCTAGAAACTTACAGCTAAAAATATGACCCCTCATCAAAAAAGTGACCTCTGTAATAGTGTGCATGATCATTTTGTTATGATATGAGTAATTGGCGCAACGAAGAAGCTCCTTCTCCTTCTGCTGAGCAAGTCATTAAGAAGGCCATTTGGAATACCCTTGGAAAGAAAAGGATTCATTACACCACCCTCATTGCTCGTGGCTCTTCTGCCATTACAACAATAATGTAGAGACAATTCAGGAAGACATAAATAATGTTCTCGCGAAATAGTCCCCATGTGTCTTGTGATAACAAACATCACTGCTATTCGCGAGTGAGGATAGCTATATTGTATTACAGCGCATGAACTTTTGAGTTCAAGTTCATTTTTTTTCTCCGAATATCATAATGTTCCATTGTGAAGACCTAAGTCTAGTTCTGATTCACTAATGTGTACAATACTCCGAAGCACAAAAGTTATTGTGCTTCGGTGTAGTGTAAACTTCGAAGCACAAAAATTATGTAAACTTTCATGTAGGCATATTTTCGAAAAATGTTTTTCGTAGTGAGTGTACGTGGAAGAGCTTTAATTCATGCTGCCAATATTATGCCGATTACGTGAGGTATCGGGAACATTACGCGATAAGCGTGGACTTCTAACTCAGCATCCAAAGAATTTTTCATTTGTCCTTAGCTGTACCGTGAAAGTAACTAAATGGTAAGAAGCACTTGTGTTAATGAACAGCTGCGTCTTCTACCTTAGAAGGTTGCCGCGAGTTTTCAAAGGAAAATAGTGATGTTTGGGCGCTGTAAGATGCGTCTGTAACACGTATGTTTTATTCTCTTTTGATTTGTATTGGATCTAGGTGAACTGAAAAAAGAAATGTTGTCAGTTTAGACACTTTGAAAGTTTATTTTTTCATTCACCATAGCCTTTCTCTTGTAATACTGGTAAAAAATTTCAACAACAAAACCTTTGTACACTGAAGCACCAACATCCAGACTGTTTTTTTTGTTTTAAATAAACTGTATTTTTTGTTTATTACGACGTAATAATGCCGCAAAAAATCTCTTCGGAGTTAGAATATACTTCAACAAAGCGGCGAGAAGAATTGTACGTCATACAGGAAAATGAAATAAAGAAGTGCTAACTCTTGGGCTTTCTTGTATGCAGCACCTATTTCATCTCATTCAGGCTAAAATGCTGCATGCTTTTGAAACTTGTTTTTCTATTGGATAGTCATTTTACGGATACCAAGAGTGACCATAGATTAAGTGATGTCAGCAACTCCCTCAAATATAGCCGAATAAGTAGTCGATAGACTGTTATACTCCCATTGTTGAAAAAGGTCTCTGGACACTCTACCGGTTCTGACATACGCTGCGACCTTTTAGGACGCGAATCTACAACAAAACAACTTGTTTTCGTTGTCATTTCTCAAAGTACACGTATACCTCCTCTTTAATTATGCCTAAACCATTTCGTCCATGTTCCTAACGTTAGTGTATGTGGATGAAAAAACTGTTTACTCCCAGAAACGTACGTTTACGTAGGTTCATTTGCATCCTGCCCTGCTTGACTTGTTGTATTACTGGATTACAATGTATTTATTGATGCATGATTTTAACCACTGAATGCTCAATATAGACTGGGTTAATGCCACGCCCATCCACAATCGCAAACACTGAGGGCACACAATGCTCTTTCTTAATTTAACTCCCTTTTATGTATTCTTATTTTTGCGTACTTCACTTCCTAACTGTCCTGATTTTGTCTTGAGTCGTTGGATGATTTTGGATTATCCTAACTGTCATGATTCGTTGCCTCTACTCCAGGCGCTCAGGATTGCATGCCCTCTTGACGCTCTTCCTCCTTTGTTGGCTCACACCAAGTTACAAGAAGCGTGGCGAATTTGCTTTCTCGCTCCGGCTTGATTATTGTAGTGCTTTTATTATTTTTGCTATTGTCCTCACCCTACCTCCTCATTTGTACAGAGACCAGCCGCTAAACTAAAAGCAAGTGAAACGTAGCGTTAATAAAGATCTCACGCCACCGTTCATGTGCGGTGAACCACGCGCATAAAGATAAAACTGAGGGGAACAGTGCGAAAACGAGACGCAGGAAGAATTATCAAAACAACACAAATGCTGATGAAAAACTGTGTATAAACTTATTACAATGGGAAATATATAGCTAAAAACAAAACTAAAAATACAATAAACCATCACGTGTCCATAAAAGAGAAAAGCAAGACAAAACGTCTATGAGTCGAAATATCCAAGTTTACCGCTCAAAAACATAATCTCTTTTTCCAGGAGGGCGAGTGAACGCTCACGGACGCATATGTTTTTATTCATTTTGATGTGGAAATCCCCGTTCATGTCGCGCTCTGTGCTGGTGCGATATGTTGAGAGTATCTTGCAATTTTGAAAGACCGGGGTGCAGTCGCATGAGGAACAATGGGCTGCCGAGGGGCTGCTTGTTGAAGTCCTAAGAGTATCCGCATGCTTTATGAGGTGTACGTTCAGACAACAGCCGGTCAGTCCAGTAGACGTGTGGCCATAGGGCAACGGAATGTCGTACTACATTTCTCACGCACTCCACGTACTGAGCCCTGTGTTTCTTGACGCACACATATTCATTGGGGTCGTCATCGTTTACTTTTTTGCGAAAATGGGCGAGCTTATGGCGAGCCGAGAACATGAGCCCTAAGCCTTCTTTGCTAACAATTTTCTTGAGCGCATGGATCTCACCGTGTACGTGAGGGATGACAGCGATTTTTTGCCTTTCCTGAGTTGGGCGTGTCTTGGTGCGACGTCTCGAAAGCTCGCTCAATATATTTTCTTTTC